CTGCCATTACTGAATCGAAATACTGCCTTTTTTCTTCTTATTTTATTTTACGCTTCAAGTAAAATATTTCTTTAATTCGGTGAAAGAAAATAGTTCTTTTGATTTTCTCATAATTGATATGTTTTTCGGGTAAATGGTAAATGCAATTTTTCATCTGTATTTAACAATTCGTTCACTATGGTTTTTCTGTGTTTTATTTTATTTTATTTTATTTTCATTTTTTTTTTTTAAAATCTATTTGTCTATCTATTTGTACATTTTGTTATTGTAGACTGATATTGAAAATAACATTACAGCAACGGCACTACGGTTTCTCAGTGTGCCATTTTGTTAATATTAATATTAACATTAATATGAACGTTATTATTATTATTATTGTTATTACTATGACTATTACTATTACTATTACTACTACTATTACTATTATTATTGTTGCCGAAGCTATTATCTCCATTATTGCTATTGCTATTGATACTTATGTACTCAAGCTTATTATTGCTACGTTACTGCTGTTTTGTTTGACGTGTTTGTTGTATTCATATGAATTTTTTTTAGAGTGACATAAAAGCGGAATTGGAGTGTTTGAGTTTGCTGGTTAAAAGGGAAGCAAAATTTGACGTTGATATTTGTTGGGGCTTTTTTTATTCTTTGTCCCATTTTTTCCAACCATTATTTCCTCCTTTCTTCCTTTTCTAATTTATATTAGTAGCGTTAAAGAAGCTTTTAAAATGCGTTTATTTGTGCCACTCATAAACTTCTACGAAAGCTTCTAAAGCCGAAAAGGGAATGCAGCATCAAATACAATGTTTTTTACTGTTTAATCAGTTAAGTGACATTTCTTCGTCAAATCCTTAAATTTTACAGAATAAGAAAAATTGTTTTTTTTCAGTTTGCAACCTACAAAAATGACTGACCTTTTTTGATGATATTATACGGTGACAGATGAACATAGAGTAGTGCAAAAGTTAAATACTGGAATCGTGGAATGGCAAATTTTGTTGGATCATATATTTACTGTTCACAGGTTTTCTGATGGCATTTGCATACTTTTATCGGTCACTTTACCAGCAGTCCTCTTTATGAAATGCTTTCAGATACTGTGGCAGTTGAAGCTTTTTTTTTGTTTTTTTTGGAAATTTAAGTACCGAATTAGAGTTAAAAGTTAGTTGAAAAAAAAAA